TTTTTCTTCCTCAGGCGACATGTCGATCACCTTGTCTCGAAGGCGGCTGAGAAGGGCACGATCAGTGCGCCCGGGTCGCTCTGCTCCACAGCCTCCTTGATCTTAACCAGCCTGCGGCACGCAGGTACCCGGCGGGTCAGTTCAGCCGTTGCCTCAGCCGCCTGGCAACAGGCTACCCGTTCTCGACAGCTTCTGATCGCGCCGAAAAACACGACACGGCCGCATACGCAGAGACCCCACTTGATGGCCCGGTAGTGCCATGGCCATGCTCTACTAGCAACAACAGCGGTTACGGAACATGAGTGGCACTAAAAACATGAGGTGATACGCACGGCGGGGGCACAAAGCAGTCGCCGAGAGCAATGTCAAAAAGTTGGCGCATGTGTACTGTGACGCATTCATTTTGGCTGGCCTGGTGCACTGCGCACGGGGTCATCTGGCCGGCCAGCTGACCATTTCTAGCTTTGGGAGTATGCCCGGTCACGTGACCGCCGAGTCGAACCCAGAGCCCCCTGTATGCGGAGACTGACGACCGGGGCGTGGTCACGTGCCGGGCGCGCTGGCCGGTGCCGTGATCTAACCAGCAGCCAGGGCCGGCCAATGCAGAGTCCGTCAACTCAAGAATTTTACCAGCCAGCAGCACGGTCACCGGCTACATATGCTATGATGGATGGGAATTCACGAGCTAATGCGGCCTCACAAAAATGGCATCATCATTCCACCGTAATCAGGCGCTTGCGCACGCATGTGCCCATCGGGGGACAGGTCGTCTGAGTAAACGCTCGACCGGCTGTTGTAAGGCGGTGCGTACCAACGGCGCCATGTGATACTATACCATCGAATACCATCGGGCGCCATGTGATACTCTACCATCGAATACCATCGGCGCCAAGTTTACTCTACCACCGGCGTCATGTGATACTGTATCATCGAATGCTACCGGCGTCATGTGATACTCTACCATCGAATACCATCGGCACCATGTGATACTCTACTATTGAATACCATCGGCGCCATGTGATACCCTACCATCGAATACCATCGGCGCCGTGTGATACTTTACCATCAAATACCATCGGCGCCATGTAATACTCTACCACTGGCGCCATGTGATACTCTACCACTCGAATACCATCGGCGCCACGTGATACTCTACCAATCGAATACCATCGTGGTGGTGTGCCCATTAGTTTCGCCTCGCTATCTATTTCTGCTTTATTTAAACTAAGAATCGGCGCCTGTCAGCGTTTTTCCCATGCCACATTTTCGTCTCGTTGATCGTGACCGTTCTGCTTTAAACCAAAATCTGCACCAGTCAGTAACCCTTCCCGCGCGGTATTCAAGGAAATTCCAAGAGTTGGAAGTGGAAGACCGCTACGAACAGCATAGAGGTCGGTGCATATCTCTCCTCCAGCCCCAGATGCCAGATGATGCAAGATCATGCCATGATCATGAGCAAAGATCATGCCAGATCATGAGCAACCAACAAGAACGCAAGTGACTTGACTAACACTCAGTCCCCGACTAACGCCATGCGCCTTAAGAAGTGTCTCCTCCCCCCCCCCCCCCCCCCAACGCGCCTATGCATGGTGACCGTTTGCAGGCCCGGCAATGGCCCGGTAGGAGTTGGCGCCCAGCCGCCGGAGCTTCATCGGGAGACAACCACCTTCGGCACGACCAAAGGCCTTGGAGGTGTCCCCGGTCTGAAGTGATGCACTTGTGTACGGTCCATGTGGTTTCAGAAAATCCTGGCTGCTTTGAGCGCGGTGCCTCCGCTGAGTGTCCGGATCTGAGCCCATGCTGCCCACCAGAGCACAGAGCATCCGGACAGGTCGACACGGCGTCGCGGCGCGGTTTGTCATCGCCAGCACGAAGGCGCACACGACCGGAAGCGCGACGCGCAGCATCCTCGTACAGACGGCGATCCCGTGTCGCCACCCCTCCCATATCGCATGACGCAGCTCAGATCTGGCGGGGAGCCGGTCGGGCCAGGCCGGCGCGGCGGCCCAGCTGCGGCGCCGGCGGACCGGGGACTGGCTGGCGCGGCCCAGGCCGGCCTGGCCCGAAGGCGGCACGGACGCGGCTGAACGGGTCGCCTCGCAGGCCACCCGCTCAGCTGCAACAGGTGCCCGCACCCGTCTGCGCGATGAAATCAGGCATCGCCTGGTGCGCTTTCCCGTGGCCTTCCTCGAGAAGCGGTACATGGTTGAAGGAACTCGTCCTTCCACCGCACCGGGCGCGTTTCGTCACGTTCCGCCGTGCTCCCGGCTCTGGATGGTCGCGCAGTTCGTTCGGCCGTCTGCCCATGACCCTCGCCTGTCCTCGGTCTCGCCTGTCGCGGCTAGGGGTACTGCGAACAATCCGGGTGGATCCGGCGATGCGTTTTTTTTTGGGGGGGGGGGATAATCCCACGCTGCACATGAACATAGATATGGATAATAATCACAGCCATGATGGGTAAGCACAGTGCTGTGCATTGATAAGGAGACACGGGGCTCCCAGCGTCGAAAAAACGTATGAGGCAATGAATATGCTATGCCCTCTGTTCTCCATCACGAGCTGGCACGGGCCGTGGGGCAAAATGGCGCCTTAAGCAGGACCAGAAGCGTGACCCCTGGGCCTCATCGCTCAGTTCAAGGAACGGTTACGGCCACCGGGCATATTCCAGTCGGTGGACTGGTGCGTGCCACGTGGCCAGCTCATCCCATTGGAATGGCCTCCGGAGAATCACCCACACCTGCGCTCCATCCAACAACAACATCGGCTCCATCCAACGCAACGCCGACAAAAAAAAAGACAGACAAAACGATCACCTCGCAGAAACGGGCTTCGATTGGTGGATGAGGCGTCTGCGATCTGGGCCTGCATGACGTCACCAGCCGCAGCCGTGCCGCAGCACACGCGGCCCACTTGGGGCGGGCTGTCCGGGCGGGCCCGCTCCAGGGGCCGGCGCCCTGGCTCAGCCCGGCGGGCGCGCCGGGCGCCGGCGGGGCGGGCGCCAGCGTCGCCGCCGCCCACTTACGCCGTCAGCAGTGACATGACCTCTGACCTGGCGTGACGTCAGCGGCCGGGCCGTCATTAGCCAGCGCCGGCGGGCGGCCGGCCGGCGCGGCGCAACCCGCCCCCTGATTGGGTTCAATGAAGTGGCGATTAGGGCGGCGGCGCGGCCGGCTGCCGATCGCCGCGCGATTGCGGCTGTCGGCGCACATCGCCAGCCGCACACACCAGACCGACCGCTGCTCCGACCGAGGCCGGCCCGCGCCCCGCCACCAACAGTCCCCGGCGCGCTGGACACCCGTCCTCCGCCGACACCGGACGGGCCAGGGCGCCTCACCAGCTCGTCGCCGTGGCGTTATTACCCGCCGCACGGCGGCGCCTCGGAGGGTGTCGCGGCGGCGCCTCGGGGGGTGTCGCGGCGGCATCTCGGAGGGTGTCGCGGCGGCATCCCGGAAGGTGTCGCGGCGGCGCCTCGGAGGGTGTCGCGGCGGCACCTCGGAGGGTGTCGCGGCGGCGCCTCGGAGGGTGTCGCGGCGGCATCTCGGGGGGTGTCACGGCGGCACCTTGGAGGGTGTCGCGGCGGCGCCTCAGGAGGGTGTCGCGACGGCGCCTCAGGGGGTGTCCGGCCACCTCGGAGGGTTGTCGCGCGCGCCTCGGAGGGTGTCGCGCGGCACCTCGGAGGGTTTGTCGCGGCGACGCTTCAGAGGGTTGTCGCGGCGGCGCCTCAGAGGTGTCGCGGCGGCACCTCAGAGGGTTGTCGCGGCGGCGCCTCAGGGGGTTGTCGCGGCGGCGCCTCAGGGGGTGTCGCGGCGGCGCTTCAGAGGGTGTCGCGGTGGCGCCTCGGGGGGTGCCGCGGCGGCGCTTCAGAGGGTGTCAGCCGGCAGTATCTGCAGCGGATCTCGGCGCACCTTTCGTCGCCGGCGCGCCGCCACACCGTCGGCCCAGTAATTGGCGGCCGGTGGGTGCGCGCGATCGTATCTCGCGAGAGGGCGGCAGGCCGGGCCAGGCCAGGCGGCGTGTCGCCCGAGCAGAGCGCCGCCCGCCACGCCCACCAGCAGTGTCGCCCTGCCGTGGTCTGGCCTCCAGCGCAGCGGCGGTCCGCTGCCAGCGACGGTCGCTGCTCGGAAGCCACGCTCAGCGAGCACTGCGGGCCCCACGGTCTGTGCTGACACGTCACTTGAGGGTGTCCTCCCCCCCTCCCCCCGCCAAGCCTGTTGGGCGCCAGCAGCTCCCCCAGAGAGCAGCCTGCCGTTCTCAGCAGAAGACTGCCAGAGCCCGAGATGCACTTCAGGCTGGCCGTGCAGATGAGTGTCGTTTCCCACGCCGCACGATGTTCAGCGGTCGCGCCGTGACGCGCCCAGGCGCTGTCAGCGCATGATACGTGCAGAGGTCGCTCAGCTCCCGGTTATCCCGTCCGTGCACGAAAAGACTTTATGAACATAAGGCGGTCCAAATGTCGGACCATTATTGCCTCCTAATGTCCTGCACAGATCCAATTCGCAGCATTGCCGACTCCCCACATTCACGAAACACGATCAGGTGCATCAATCACGACAAGCAAGTGAACACGCGAGGGGTTGTCCGGCCGGCGAGCCGCCGCCGCGCCGACGGGCGCGCGCCTCCGAAGGAATTGTGTGGGGCGCGGCCGGCACCCTTGCGGAGCCGACCGATCCGGACAGGTGGTGTCCCGCAGCGCGCGCATAGGACCGGGCACCGGCGCGATTAATGGTGCCGGCTGGCCGGCGCTGCTACCACATTACACGGCGCGGCGGGAGGTCAACCCTTCGGCGTCCCGTCCGCGCCGAGGCCGCCCTACAACCGGCCAGTCGGTGGTGACATCTGGCGACAAGTAGAGCAGGCTCCCACGGCGAGGCCGAGCGTCACAATGCGTCGCTCCTCGACTCCAACTGCGAGGTGGCTTCTTCACTGAGCACGTGGCAAAACAGAATGGGCGTGGCATTGATGCACACGGCCCACGTGGCGGCGTGCGATGAAATGCTCACCATTTGTTCTTCTTCCGGATGAAGTCCTTCTCGGAGAGATTCACCAGGTAGATGACGGGTTTGGCGGTCAGGAACAGGTGCTTATTTAGCACCTCGATCTGCACGAAAAACGGGTGTGTGGTTCGACATGCAGCACGCGCGAAACGGTACGTCAACAACTGGCCGACATCAGCGAAGAATTTTGCACACTGGCCGCAGGTGGAAACGGTTATGAACGGACCCACAGCTGCTAGCCCTTCTCAGCACGCTGCAAACTAGTCAAACGGCATGCCTTACGAACCCTCTCGCCCCCCCCCCCCCTCTTCCCAAGTCCTACATATGCAAACAATCTTGACGAACGCCCCGCTACACAAGCTTATGAAATACCGCATATTACCAACGACGCCAGGCCTCCTGTTCAACTTTATGACAGCGAGCAGGGCTCCCTCAGTCGTCATCAAATAGCAGTGCGTGGCGAAAAGAGACACGGGTGATAGTGCGGAGCTTACTTCCCCGGCGTCATCAGCAGCGCACTACGGGCCACCGAACACCAGCGGCGCCAAAAACAAACGTCTCCATAGCGCTCGCGGGGGAGAGGAAGGGACCGTCGCCGCGTACCTCATTGGCGTTCCACTCCTGGAAGCGCAGATGTTTTTTGTCTTCGCATAGAACAGACTTGATCTTGAGGAGGATGTCCTGCAGCGAGAGCCGAGCGTGAGTTCAGGTCGAGATACATCACCTCCTGGAAGTCACCCAACAGCCCGCCGACCCGATCTCTTTAAGAGTTCTAGTGCCTGGCCATAAATCAATGTAAAATATAAAAAAATACCGTAAGCCATCAATTATGGACAGAATGTCCGTAAATGATAAATCAAGAAGAAAATGCTTCAGGAAGCATAGTGTTTTGCATTCATAAATACTTGGGGGAGGGGACTGAAATGTTTCAATCTGCACGACAAACTGAAGCACGGAAACCCTGTGACTCAGTCCACTACGCGCAAAACAGCACCAGTAAAACCACGCAGCATTGCGGTACACAGACTGGCGACCGTCCGCTTCCCGGCACGCGGATTCACGCGTGCCACCGACTCACATATTCGGGCTTGGCCTTCTTGTCCGAGCGGAGCACGTTCTTCTCGAACTTCTCGATGAAGGGCAGCAGGTAGGCCTCATCCTTGAGCCGCAGCTCCTCGTTGATGATGGCCAGGTCGCGCACAGGCTCCACCTCGCCCTCCACGTGTGTCACGTCATCGTCGTCAAACGCGCCTGCCGGCCACCGCCCGTCGGGGTCACTCACGACACGGCACGGCACGGCACGACACGGCACGGCACGGCACGGCACGGCACGGCACGGCAGACGGGGGCACGACCATGGTATTGTCATTGGGGCTTTATGACGCACCCCGCTGCTGAGGCTATATGGCGTCGCCTGCCTCTCAACTTGGCAGGAAGCGCGGGCACTGCGGGCAATCAAACCCCGTACCCCTGGTTTCCTTGACGCGCAGTGGTTAACGCAGGTCATGGTACTGCACGCCAGACGTCAGCACGGCCAGCCGCACCGCGCTCACGCCGGCCGTGGTTGTTTGAGGAGGTCAGGTGGTCAGACGGTAATGCGTGCGCAAGTTGACGCATTCAAGCTGAGTACCATAAAATGAAATACCCAGAGAAAACTTGCGAAACAAAGTGAGGCCCTAGCGTCCTTTCATCCTCCAGCCTGCAGATTCTCCCACAGGGCGGTGTGCCAGTTCCCTATGTGGAGGCTTTTCCAAGGCGCTCTCACTTCAATATATAGTAGACATGTATACATATATGCATGGTCTAGTCTGGACCACACACCTGTTTTCCGTGCAAATCAAGGTGCTAAATTAGCACCTGTTCCTGACCACAAAAGCCGTCATCTACCTGGTCAATCTCTCCGAGAAGAGCTTCATCCTCAAGATCCAAGATCCTTCATCTTTCCCCCTTAACATATATATATATATATATATATATATATATATATATATATATATACACGCACCCATGTAGCAAAGACCGGTACGCTAGTCAACACGGGCATGAGTAACATTTCGTATGGAGCTGCCCATGTCCATGAAATCGGTATGAAGCCATAGATGAGCACAATTTGAGAGCGTTAGGCACGTATTTCAACAGCCTGCAACCAGCCCAATTGGGAGACGAAACGGTGCTTCAGGTTTACAGCCCACATTCTGTTAGAACACCACATTGCGTAAGGATGGCATGGTTCCGCAGGCTGTTAAACCGTGTTATCTCTTAGAGTCAAAGACGAAGCAGTCAAGTCCTTCAGTGTGCGAACTGCAAAGTATAAACGTCGCGACATTCTCCCCCCCCCCCCTCCTCCCCCCCCCCACGACGGTCGTCCGGCCTTCTTTCGCTCGCTTTTAATTAAGCTGCGATGGAAGCGTGTTTTAAACCACGTGGCCGCTAAGATTCGGACCACCACGGGGCACTGGGCCATCACGGACTACTGGGCCATCACGGTCTACTGGGCCATCACGGACTGCCGGAGAACGCAATACAGGGGTGGCCGATTGCGTGACGTCAGTGAGGCAAGCTATACATGAATCGGCAATGTCAACAACCAACCAAATCGACTGATCCTTCAGATGTTGTGGTCTGTTGAAGCCCAGCAAGTTTGGAGATGCACAAGTCCGCTCAGGAAACACACAGGTTTATCAACTTCCATGAAAGGGAGAGGTCGCGTGTGAACAACGAACGCCACATAACAACCATCACGACATAGCATAATGGCGTATCATAGCTGACGAGGTTAGGAGAAAGCGAGTGGAGAAGAGCTGGAAAGACAAACTGAATTCCGCGGACCGACGATCGCCGTCGCATTCAGGTGAACAGAGAACCTCCACTGGACACGCCTGAACGCCGTACCCGAAGCCCACCACCCATCTGTGCCCCTGCGGCCCACTCCGGTTGACCGGCGGGGTCACACGCCGACACCAACGCCCGCGACTGGCGCCCGGCCGGTCCGGCGCACCGGCGGCCGGCTCGGCACGGCCCCGAGGCCCGGGCGTGCGCCGCTGACAGACGCGGCCCGGCCCGCCGCCGGCGCCCCACGGGAAATGCAACAAAGTGACAGCGCGTATTATTCCTCCGGCCCGAGCTGGACCGGGGTGGCGGCCATCAATTGTGGGCGGCCGCCGCGCCACGTCGGCCGGCCTTTGGCGGCCCCCGCTGCCGCCCGGCCACGTTAATTTATCGGCCCCAGCCTGTAATTAAGAATATTACACCGTTGTTCTTATGGCCAGAATGCGGCAGGCACGGATTGAATGGGGAGACGGAGAATCGGGAGGTCTGAATTATGAATCGGTATTTAATGTATTCGGCGGCAGGCGTTTTTTACGCAGTCGTCTGAAAAGGCTCGGTCCGGGCGCCCGAGCCGCAAAAAAGCGGGCAAATATCGCCGACAAAGCGGCTCGGGCCGACGGCTGGCGGCCGTACTCCGACGTGTGGCGGTCACGGCAGTCTGGCCACACCAGACGAGACCATACCAGACCGGACCACACCGGACCGCACCGGACCGCACTGGCGTGGCGGCCGCCCGCACCGCTCGATATGTCTGTCTATTCGGCACGCAACCCGCCAATCTGGTCATCGCCCGCCCGATTCGACGCTGGCGGACGCGGCGGCGACCTGCTTGCCGGGCGTGGCTTGCGGGGTGGGCGGAGCCGGGCGGTCGGCGAGCCCGCAGCACCGTCGACGACTCTGGCCGCTCCGCGGCCTGTCGCAAAGCCACTCGAGCTGGCGGTCCGGCCGCCTGTCAACCCGTGGACGAGCCGGTGGCTGCAGCCGGTCAACAGGCATTGTGAACGCGGGCGGGTCGTAGCTCAATCTGTGCAATTTTCGCCGGGAATTTCGCGCGCGGCCGCACGCGGCGAATGTGCGCGGTCGCACGTCACGCGGGCGAACAGGGCTACAAACGCGCCGCGGCCGATCTTACTGCGAGGCACGCGCGCCGGCGAGTCCGATCGCGGCGTGCGGCGGCCGGACGGCGCCGATCCGGCATCGCTGGAGCCGCGCCGCGCCACGCCGCTTCCGCCGCCGCCGGCACGACCATGGCGGCCAGCACGCGACCGTGCGGCGGCCGCCTTTGATGCCGCCACCTCAGCTTGATTGACACGAAAATGACAAAATTGGCGGCGCAGCCGGCCGGCGCGGCGTGAGGGAGAGCGCAGGGGGCGGGCGCGGGCAGAGGGGTGGGGGCGGTACCTGTTACCGGCCACATCAAAGAGGCGCGCCGCGCAGAGCGATGCAACGCCGCCTGGGCAGGCACGGCACACGGCCACGGGCGCCGGACGCGGCGTGCGTCATCCATTCGGACCCTCAATAAACGCCGGGATTGTGACGTTCCCGCTGGTGGCGGTCCACAACGCAGCATGGCACGGTGTCGTTGTTGTGCTAACTCCCAGAGCGGACGCTCCAGACGATATACCGAATATACACCGACATATGCTTGTGCCGAATGCACATGAAACACAACGAACTAGGACAACGTTATACTCGTGATGACAACACAAGGGAAACTAATAGGCAGCCGGGAAAAACGCGTCATAACGAATAGCGGAACAAAGAGCAGGCGATGGGGCAATACGTAACGAAGGCGCTCCGGATTTTCCAATCGATTGAGTCGTCCGTCTCCCGAGGCGATGGGAGTTCTCCGATTTCGCCGCAGCCGCCGAGGGGGATTCTCCGATTCCACCGCAGCCGCCGAGGATTTTCCGATTCCACCGCAGCCACCGAGGGGAAATTCTCCGATTCCGCCGCAGCAGCCGAGGGGATTCTCCGATTCCACCGCAGCCGCCGAGGGGATTCTCCGATTCCGCCGCAGCCGCCGAGGGGGAATTCTCCGATTCCGCCGCAGCCGCCGAGGAGTTCTCTGATTCTGCCGCAGCCGCCGAGGGGGATTCTCCGATTCCACCGCAGCCACCGAGGGGGATTATCCGATTCCACCGCAGCCGCCGAGGGGGAGGGGTTCTCCGACTCTGCCGCAGCCGCCGAGAGGGCCGGGTCCGACTGGATCCGGACTGTGTCGGAGGCCTCGATCCGAACGTACACGCCCGAGAGGTCTGCCGCCCCAGGCAGAGGAAGGTCACCGGCCCTGTTGGTTTTGTTGCCTCAGCTGCTCTACTAAGCAAGCTTCTTCACTTATTTGCCACAATATTACTGCATATGATGACATATCGCATATCATGATGCGTTAATACTGCCTGATTCAATAGATAACGAATTCCGTTACCAATGTTTCTAAGTTTCCCAGTTTCCACTGCAACGTCCATCTTCGAACACAAATGATTGCAACGCAAATAGTCGCATACAGGTCATCTACCTGCACCAAAAGAGTGTATGTCCATGAATTCAACCTTCTTTATATTTCAGCCTACTTTTATGATGTCTTCTGCATCGGTCGAGCTTCGCTGTGGCTGTATATAAAGCGAGACTCACACTGGGTGGTGATACTGCCCCACGAATTATGCGGCTTAGCGCGAACAACGCCGATAATTAGTTACGCTCACTGTCAATGTTCACTATCAAGACCAACAGGCCTGCTACACAACGTTGGTAGCAGAATTGCACCGGTTCCCGTGGACACCTGGGCAAAGACACATTACGCCGGCACTGCGGTACCGTCACTGGCCAGCTCGGCCGCTGATGCCACCAACAAACTCATTAACACCTGGTGCACTTCTTACGGTCTTGTACCCACCGAACTTCGCCTTCTGGTTAAAAAAATCGTAAAAAACAGCAGATTAAACATAACCACCGCACGGTCAAAACTGACATCCCGTCGCGTGTTTGTTATTGTTGTTTAATGGTGTTTCCGGGCGTATCGACTACAATGGCCATTTTGCGCCCAGTCCCGTTGCGTCCGTGCGCCGAAAAAGGCATGCAATATAAAACATCCTTTCCGCGCAAACATGTCGGAAGAATTGTAGGTGCACACGGAAATGTGATTAAAGCTACTAAAAATAACGCACAACTGTGATACCACAAATACGATACGAAGAATTCCGCCTGCGGAAAACTGTAGAGAAAGGCGCGTGCTTGCATTTTGGAAACACGAAGGATTGCGCATATCTGTTTTGCGCCAACAAAGCTTTGCGAACCAAAACTTTGCCGATAATTTTGCGCGTAGCCGGGACTGCAATACAAAGACGTGTCCAGACGATTCTGCTATGCCGCTGGAGCTGACACGCAAGTTATCCGGCCAACGACAAGCTGACAGGCGACAT